CATGTTCAGGAACACAATTAACGCCATGGCTAAGTCCTTGGGCGTTTTTCTTTTTATTTCTCTTTACCCCTCAGCAAACAGAAATAACTTAATAACCGCAGCATATGGAAAAATTTTCTGAAACGCATTGGGAGCCTGTGGTTTCTGGGGATTGAAATGGAATTAAGCTCCAAGATCCTTCTCTGAATATTTCATAATCAAGTCGATGATGTGGACGGGTGACAGCAACGGCCAATAGCCATCGCTTTTATAAATATTTAATGTCCACACTTGATTGCCAACGCTGCTGGTGCGTAATTTTCATCGCTAGGGTGGACCCTGTTTTCACTTTGCATTTTTAAAGAGTGTCAAGAGTCCCAACAGCTGGACACTTGAAGGCTGTGTCTGTTTGCCTTTGTCATTAAGCTGTCATATGTAATTTAATAAACCAGATGGGGAGGGTCCTTCGACCACCAACCAGGCGGGGGACTTAATAAATCTATTTAGGCCAAAGTGTTGTGGGGGCGAATTCTATTAGTGCTCTCTCCAGGGACAATTACTTCGAAGTATACTTATAAAAGTGTGACGGGGACCGATTTAAATGTTGGTCGAAAGTGTTCTTATAATGTAAGAACAACTCAAGACCTTCAACCAATCATTTATATCCCTGGAGATTTTTTAAGGATCTTAAATAATTACAAAGATTGTCTCTTTTATGACGCTTTTTAATTAGAGAAAAGTATTTGCCAAACTAAAGGTCATGCCGGCTTATACTTCAAGAAGTCTAAATCTCGACATTATGAAAACACACAAAAAGAAGCGAAAGGGATTCACTGTACTTGCATGCTTCATGTATTACTCAACTACAATTATCAGCAGTGAAATCACTTTCCTGGTCACCTATCGAAGTGTACCAGGCAAGCTGCGCTATAACTGATTGGGAATTATAGTGTCGCCAGACCGTTAAACTTCGGAAAACTGATCAAGTCCTTAGTGTGATGTTGCACTTTGTTCTTGGATCTCTATCAGAGTTTTCCGTTGCAGACTATGCAAACTAATGGACATTATAATAAACACAGTTTTTTTCTTCAAAGAAAGTATTTTTCTGTTGTTCAATATACTATAATAGATATTTTAAAAATATGTAATTTTGCCATTAAAAACTCAACAGGTATTTTTAACAACTTAAAAAGATGCATAAATAGTCAAACTACCTTTATAAAATATTTCGAGGCATACTTGTAGGCGTTGTTATGAAGTGATCTTAAACCTATAGCGATTTCAGCGACAACCTTTAAAAGGATTAAGGTGACTTATGGGCGTGTCACAGAACTCCCTTCGGTCGAAGTTCGGCGAAAACTGGTATTGATGCTTACGTACATTTCCTTCGAATTTCGCCCGAAGAGATTTTAGTGACCGCCTCGTTAATGATCGCATAAGATCAATGTTTGTCATATATATCATTTGGTTTCTATAGCCATAACTTTTCCATACGTTTAAATTGACTTAAATTTTAAGCTTTCGCCACAGAATGTCCACCCCAATTTAATTTCTCCATTTTTTGTGGGGATCCTGCTTTTGACATTTTGATGCGGCTGCCGTTGGCTTTAGGCGATTGACATTTGACCAAAGCCCCGCTGTTATTTTGGCCTTACTTTCTGCGGTTTGAGCCGCTAACGAACGTGTTGCATTCGATTGTGTATATGTATGGAGGGAGTTGGGATCGAAAGGGCTTAACAGCTTGAGCTGGCTGCCTACTTAAGGGCTCAATGCTGCGGTAAAAGTGGGCGGTGGGCGGTGGGTGGCTGACACTTTCTCCCAAGATGTGGTGAATGTTGAATGGCGATGCTAGGCGAAAGGAGCTAGGCAAGCAGAAAATGCTAAAAGCGCAGAAGGGGCTGAAAACTTTCGCCTAACTTGCTTTCTAAAAATAGAAATGAAATCGCGCGCACGTACGCACACTTTTACAGGGGCAAACACACACACACACCCACCCACTGGTTACATGTATTTGCTGCACACGTATGTGTGGAGGCTGGCCGCCATTTTGTGTGGCGAACGCCTACGCGATGTTTAACTGCGCTGTAGGTTCCAACATGCTTGTGTTGGTGAGCTCTTAGCCACGTACATGTATGTACAGTGTAAGTGCACTGCGAGAAATGTGCGGTTTCTATTTGAAAACATTTTTAAAAAAATCAGTTCGTTTGGTCCCATATGGAAAATGTTTTTCGGTATGTTGAAAACGTTGATATCTAAAACTTTTTAATATGTATGTATTTTATATAAATTAAGGTTTATTCAATTTACGACGAAAATTCAACTTCTTTGGGCTGTATTAAAGCTAAATTTTAAAAAGGTTTTAAAATATTTCAGTTATTTTGCACTAGTTAATGTAACGGACGGATTTCATTTGCAATATATTGCTTTAGTCAGTATATTTAATCAAAATGTATTGAAACTGTATCAAAAAATATATTATATCAAAATATATACGATTATCAAAATTCAAATATTATCAAAGGCTTAAGAACTAAAATATTTGCATACTTTTTGGGGATTTATAAGTTAAGTACGAGTTACATTATAAAAAATTTATTTTAATAAATAAAGTAAAGGGACAGTATGTACAAACATTATATAAAAGGATTATATCTGGGTTGAAATATTTAAATATGTTGTCACCTTCCCTTTTTCTTACGAATTTCATAAAAAAATGTATTCTTATTATATAAAAGAATTATATCTAGGTTGAAATATTTAAATATGTTGTCACCTTCCCTTTTTACTTACGAATTTCATAAAAAAATGTATTCTTAATCTATAAAAGGATTATATCTAGGTTGAAATATTTAAATATGTTGTCACCTTCCCTTTTTACTTACGAATTTCATTAAAAAATTGATTTTAATAAATAAAGTAAAAGGACTGTATGTACAAACATTATATAAAAGGATTATATCTGGGTTGAAATATTTAAATATGTTGTCACCTTCCCTTTTTTCTTACTATGTTGAGACTGTTTTCGCTTCACTGCTAGCCCATTTTTTGCCGTGTATGGAAAGTAATGATTCACTAAGCCAGTGTAAGAACAACAACCGCAGGATGGAAATTTGTGAAATCGTGCAAACCGGAAGGACGGGGGATTTTAGGGGGTACAGGACAAGACAGCAACGTCGCTTAAGAAGGCGACAGCTGTCGTCCTGGCGCAAAACACCTACGCAATTTCCTGGCGAAAACGGCAAACGGTAAATGGGAAATGGAAAATGCTAAATGAGATGAGCACCGAGATGGAGCCACTCGAGCGGATATTCGGTACCCTCCGAAAAATCAGCAGGCCACCCACGCAGATTTCGCCTGGGGGCGAGAGTTTTCCGAAAAAGAAGAAAACTCGAAATTTCCCAATGACCTTTAGCATTAAACAGAGGCGCGAGTGGGCGGCCATGGGGCGTAGCTGCTGAAGCACCTGAACTGAACTTTAACACTCACCTGCTGCCGGCTGTTGCTGTTGCTGCTGCTCCAGCTGCTGCTGTTGCTGCTGCTGCTGGAATCTATGACTGGCGCTGGTGGAGAGCTCCGTGTCCTGGGCAAGAACGGAGGCGGGCACAGCCCAGATCAGCGGGCTGAGGCACAGGATCAGTGCCGGGATTACCAGCAAACTGCTCCTGGGCATCGAGTTGTGTTTCATATTTACGGATCTTTTTACTTTGGTGTCTTTTCACTACTAAACTGTGTCCCAAATAGGATATGGATACGGAACTGTCTGGAGGTGGGAGGTCGACTTCGACTCCTGGTCGGAATGTTCTTCTTGCTCTGCCAGTGGTCTTCGCACTACGACTGTTCTGAATGAACTGACGTCCCAGCGACGCAGTGCAACAGTTTTTAACGTACTGGCCCCGATTCCGTGGCGTTGGCCGTTGGTTTGCAGACCCAGTTCCACCCATGTCCACCACCATCCACCCACCCCATTCCCACCCAGTCTGCACACAACCTACGTCACTCTCATTGATAAAGAATCGCAGACCTCAGAGGAGCCTGCTTACGTACTTCCCTGGCCAGGCAGCTCGGTAATCCTCCACTGCGCCTGCTCGGAATCTGCAAAGAGCTGCGTTACTACCTGGTGATATCTGTGTGCTGCTATGGTGTTAGATGTGCCTCTATGATACTGGTTGTTATGTAAAATAAGTACTTGATATAAGTCATATGATATGATTTATATTATAACTTTATTTTATTAAATAATTATTTGAAAATATAACTATGTGACTATAATTAATAAATCATTTGATTTGCTACATGCTTCTTGGGTGTTAAATATGTAAAGTTAATACACTATTGGGCAATTACAAGCTTACATTATGAAATTATTTTCTTTGAGAGAAATGGTATCCTCTGGTATCAACAACTGGTAATATGAACCAGCTATTAAAGCAGTTCAAATACCTTCTGAATATTTCAAATGTATAATTTTTATGTAGAAGATAAACAGCATTGAAGATCTTTAAAACGTATAAATTTAGTTTATCAGCTAAACTGCTATACTTAAACATTTGTAATCAAGGTTTGTTATTATGATAAGTAAAAAATAGTTTTAGTGATCCCGAATCCATATTTCATGGTTGCTAAATATGACTCAGGCCTTATACTTTACATATACATATATAATACATTTGTAAGAAAACTGAGTGCCTGTGTAATTTGATTATATACAAACAATAATTCGATCCCAGCTACAGAACTTATGTATAACTTATAATATAAAGGCAATGACACCATGCAACAAAAATTATATTTCATTTCTATTCTATGAACTGCCTTCTTTTATAGATCACATTATTATGAAAACCTGGCTGGTAAGTCTTATTTAACGCTGGACTTGCGAAAAATTTAAGGGATTGCATACATGCAAATGTATATCAGTAATCGCAATGCTAAATCAGCAAATTTCAACTATATTCCATACCTTTCAAACTCGCTTCTCAGTAGCTTGCTTTCAGTTTAACAAGGGTCTTTGTTTTGTAAGGCCACAAGTGCGGAAAATGATAACGAAAAGTTTTTTGTTCATCCTAATCACATTCTTGATAGGTTTCTCCCTCGAGACTCCAGTTGATCGGAACGGGAATGGAAGTCCCATGACGATGAGGGGTTTCAACAACAGCCTTGGCACCTATGTGGAGTACAGCGGTCGGGCATCGATAGCCTTTGAAGATTGGACCATATATGCCAGCTTTAATTTGGAGTCACTTTTTCCGGCCATGACTGTCTTCAAAAAAGTCTATAAAGCTCTTCGAGATAATTGCGAAATAAGTCCCAAACTGTGCCCAGATATTATTGAATTGATAAAGTTTTCGGACTCAATTCTTCAAGATGGCCTGGTTGATACAGAGGATCCTCAGGTTTTTAAGGTCAAACCTTTCCCTCTCGGTAGAAATGACATGGCCAACGAGATGACGAATAAATCCTCCTTCATAGACAGCACAATAAACGTTCACGTAGGTCTAGTGGAACTCGATATTGATTCTCCAGACTTTGAAGCCAAAGACAGTCCAGACTGGTTTATTGAAAGAATGAAAAACCATCTTAATCTTTTGGGTGCCCAGTTGAAAAGGTCGCAGGATGCCATACTTGAAGCAGTGATCTCCGCCCATCAGGGGCAACTCAATCCTCTTATCCTTTCCATCAAGCAGTTGGATGCGGAGATGCTTAAAATTCAGGCCCATCTTCCACGGGGACGTCGACTGCCCTTCGATCAATCCACAATTGCCGATATTTACCGCGTTGCTTCCGTAATACCTCAGCAGTTGGAAAACTATTTGGTCTTCCAAATCTCAATGCCCCTGATCGATGTGGAACAGTTTAATATCTATCGATTAACACCCATTCCGCGGCTGGACAATGGCAAAATCCAACTGGTGGACACCGAAACCCCATATCTGGGTATCAACGATCATATGGACAGGTATTTTCCACTTCAGAACCTGGATGACTGCACTGAATTGGCCGGGGAAAGGTTCATCTGTAAGCACAATCAAATAACTTATGGAAATGGAGATGACAGCCTTGCCTGTTCCCTGGCGGCTATAAGAAATGAGTCCTCCAATGGGTGCACTTTCCGCCAGGTGGATAGGAGTAGCATGTGGACCCAGCTGGTGGAACCGAATTCGTGGATGGTGGCCCTCACCAAGGAACTGAGTTTGATGGGTGTGTGCTCTGGGGAAAGCCAGGAACTCAGAATAAATGGCAGTGGAATCGTGAGCATTCGGAGTGACTGCATCGTCCGGAGTTCAGCTGTCACTCTGCAAGGGGAACCCCAGAAAAGAATTCCCCTGAAAAAAGGATATGCATCGTTGCAGTTGACCAACAAGACCTCCCAGGAAATAGGAATCATGGAATCGTTTAATAACCTTCTTAAGATTGCTACCCAACTGAAAGTGTATCAGGAAAAACTCGAAGCAGTCGGGGATTATCCAATGACCGTCGTTGTTGTTTGCCCCGTAATTGTGCTGCTCACCTTATTAATATCGCTTTCCTGGTTATATCTCAACCACCGTAGAAGACAACTCCCAGGGGCACAAAATCCAGTCAGCGAAATCGATAGTCTCCAAGACAGCAAAAATGAAACCACAACCAGTAATCTTCCACTGCTGGAAAAACAAGAAATTTAGAAGATTTCAGGTCTGCAAACCGATCTTAACTCATTTAAAAATAATTTTGTATTTGATTTTCTTAATAAAACTTGTTCAGCGGGTTAACTTTCTTGCTTTGTTTTTTTATCAAATCATTTTCGAAAAATAGTCTTTATAAAAACAATGGCTACACAATTTTCGGATGAGAACTTGAAGACTATAAGAAAAGAAATAAAAACTTAAAAAACAATCTAAGTAGGGGGATGTTTATAAAATTTGCTGGAATCTGCACTTTTTACACAAGAACTCCACAATGGGTATATGTGTTCATAAGAATATCTTGGATGTTGAGCAGTCCACTGCCCATTCCTTTCAGTAAGCAAATAACTTTTAAAGGGATCGGTTCAAAACTATGACATCCAGAATGAAGTGCTTCTTCATATTCCTCATCTTATGCAATCCCAGCTCTCAGCTTGCTACAGACCCCCGAATCGACGAAAGTGTAGCTCCCGTGTCTGTAACACAGTTCAATAATAATCTCGGAACATTTATTGAGTATAAAGCGCAAGTTGAAACCAAAAATCGCGTTCTAAAGTTTCACATCCTCCATGATTATCAAGCACTTGAAAAAAACTTCAAAACTCTGCAAGAATTTTGCCAAAAAAACATATGCCCGGCAACTTTTAACAAATTGGTCCCAGACTTCACAGAGTACCGCAACACCATACAAAAATTGGATACTGTTGATCTTAAGTAAGTTAAGCTCAGCATTTTGAGGTATATAGTTCTGTATTAACTTAATATGTATTTTATTACGAACGAGTTGATACCGCAATATACTTCAACTTTTTTATCACCGTACTACACTGTGGGAGACCAAATATTTAAGAGAAAAGAGGTACCCAAAAATTTGAAAACTACTTTTTGGCTTTTTTTTGCCTCTGACTTAGACTGGCGACAGCAAACCCTTATTCGCGAAGTGGATTGCGCCCGTAATAGTACCATTTGTCCATCAATTGAAACCATTAAAATGGTGGAGAAATTTCTTATAACACATTTCTTAAGAAAAACAATTTCGGATTTCATTCGTACTGCCTCGGTAACAGTTTGAAAATGTGATAAGTGGATTGTTTTTCAATACACTATGGCAGACACCTGGGATAAAAAATTTAACCTTTACCATTTGACACCTATTCCTAAATTGCATCTAAACGGCACCATCGAGATTTTGGACATCGAGAGCCCATATGTAGGTATTAATGATGAGCTTAATATGTATTTCAACCTACAAAATTTGGATGACTGCTTGAAAATGAATAGTAATACATTAGTTTGCGAACCGAATGGTATCTTCATAATCAGTAATGCTGAAGTGCCTTGTGCTATAGCTGCGATCCGAAATCAAACCTCCACAGCTTGCACTTCTCATCTTGACATGCGAAACTCCATATGGACACCACTTCTAGCACCAAATTCATGGATGGCGACTGCCAAGGAGCTCACAATAAATGTTATCTGCTTCCGAGATGAACCAGAACTGAAAATACACGGTACGGTCGTTTTAACGATTCGCAGCGACCTCAGTGTCTATGGTATACCTGTAAATGTCCAAGGAAGTCATCGCAAATGGACGCTTTCCAACCGTTCTTATGCCTACCTGCAACCAACAATCGAAACTCGAGAGAAACCGGAAACCACTGTGTTTCCATATATCACTGGAGCTGTCGTAATTATTTTGATTCTCCTGTGTGCCACCTATTGGCATTACCATGGCTTTCAGTTTTCCTTTACCAATCGAATAATGGAGCAAGGTTTATAGACCTACTAATTGTGTCGATTATAATACAGTTTTATTTGTTTGGTTTAATTGCAATAAATATTAGTTACTCTCTTCATTTACACGTTGTAAGTCTCAAGGCTTCAGTTAAGGTTTCCTTTCATTGCACTTAGAAATTTAGAAAATCTGGGCCAAGGGCAGGGCATGCTGGCGATGTGATCTGGGACTACGTTCCTCTACTTTCTCCATTTCCGGACTCTGCAACGAGTGCTTTATTTTACAATTGCAGCAAGGCGCCTTCGTTCACAATAAAAACTACAATTTGTCAGCTACTACAAGGAAAACATTGCCAATTACAAACTAGTTACAGCGCTCTCACCAGCGCATTGCACTTTGTGTCTCTGATTTTGTATCAGTTTCTGTCCGTGTGTGGTTGTGTATGAAATAAAGCTTTATGCGGAAAAGGGGGAAAACAAGAAAAGCATGTTGAGGACGATCACTTTTTCCTACTTGGCGTTGTCCAGCACCTTCATTATGTGCTTTGAGACAAGGGCCGTTGCCTCGGCGGCATTTGGGATGAGGAAGCGATCCATGTCCGTGATGAGCAGGCCGTCGCCATCGGGGAATCCGTACTTGAAGGTAATCAGGTCGCGGTGTCGTTTCTTGGCCGTGATCTTTACGATGCTGGCCAGCGGGCGTCGCACCATTATCTGCGCCTGACCGCGACCCAGTTCCCGGAGCACAACTAGTTGGCCGGGCGTGATGATCAAGTGACTGTCGTACATATAGCCGCTCATGTGCACCTCCTGGCACTTGAAGGCGTTGATGATGTCCGCGGTTTTGAAGTACTGGTTCAGATTAACGATTTCCTTGCCATCGCCAGCCAGCGGTTGATCATCCCGCTCACCCGTCCCGTCCAAGGCGTCTTCGTTCTCATCATCAATGCTGAAAACAGGCGCTACATTGCGGTACCGCTTTCCATTCCTCTCCTTGGCACTGACATGGCGTTCCTGGGCCGGCGTCGCTGTCACGCCATTGGAACCGCTGGCCGAGGCTCCGCCATTAGCACTGGGATTCACTATGATGTCCAGCAGTTTTCCCTTGACCTCCGCAGACTTTGACTTCATGGCGGCGGAAAACTTGCTGAACAAGTCGGTAGAGGAGGGCGTCGACGTCTTGAGCGGCGCTGATTTTGTCTGCAGGCGGAGAAGTAACAGGTTATACACACATAAGTGGTTTAAATCAAAGTAAATTTCCATTTTCTTATCTTACCTGCTGGACGTTGTGCTGCTGGCAGACGAGGCACTTGCGCACATTGTGATCCTCCAGGCAGTCGGCCATGTGGTCGCCAAAATAGTCGTGAATGGAGGCGTAGCCGCCGGTCAGCAGCGACACGTAGTGGGTGTTCTTCTGCAGGAATGAGGCCACCACCATGTGTGTGTACTGGTCCTCTTCGACGCGACCGCTGCCCATGAAGCACAAATGCTCGCCCCCGGCATTCGAGTTGGCCTCGATGGCCTGCCGCTGGGCGGTCAGGAGGCCCTGGACGGCGGTGGCGAAGGCGACCGGTTCCTGGAGCATCAGGTTGCAGTCCAAATGGAATGCCGTGGACAAATGACCGGCATTGTACTGCTCAGCCGGTCGGCAGTCCACGAGAAAGAAGCGCACTGCATCTGGCACGGGGAATTCTGTGGCCGAGTTCTCAACCAACTCGTAAACGGAGACGGGCAAGCACAGTGCCTGTGACACCTTGTTGGCCTCCTCCTGGCTGCGGGGCGTATCGTTCTGCTTTCCATACAGCGCTTTTAGATAGTCTGTCTTAAAAGAAGTAGGTGTCTTGAGGGCATAGTACTGAGCCAGGGAGCAAAAGTCGGGGACATCATCAAATTCCAGGGCGCACGGCATGAGGCCCAGGAACTTGATGATATCCTCCTTGGACGAGCTCCTCATCTGTAGGATCTGTTCCCTTCCGTTGATCAGGATAATCAGCGCGAGGAAAAATACCATGAAGGGGTCGGCGTTCTGGAAGTACAGGTCCCACATGGCGATGATCACCGACAGGCTGCTGCAGGAGGCGAAAAGCGACTGGAACCAGGTTAGCGAGTACAGGTCGGGCGTGATCTTCTTGGTGTCTAGCAGGGTGCACAGCTCCGGATCGTGGTAGAGCAAGAGCAGCCGGAAAACATGGAAGACGTTACCTTTGGGTCGACAGCCCTTGGGTATATAGGTGTCCCGTATGGACTCGAACAGGTTGAAGGTATCCGAGCGATTCAGCTTCAAGGCGAACAGGGGGAGCAGTAGCTCTATCCAACCATTATCCGGTTCATACTGTAGGTTCCTGTTCTTGCAGTAGAACGTTATGATGGACTCCAGGTCAGAGACCACCGAGACCTTGTCCTCCTCATCGTTGCCCATGCGATCGACGTGCCGCTGGCAATCCTCGCGCAGTTGACTCTGGAAGGGCAGGTCGTAGATCTCATTGAAGAGCGACATCTGATCGGATTTATGGCGCACATCCAGGCACACTTGCCACACATCCGGGCGCAGGGCCTCCGGCAGGGCTTTTCCTTGGCAAATGCCGTAGATGTCGTTGACATTGCAGTCGTCCAGCAGCGCCGACTCCAGCTCTATGATCCTATGGAGAAAATAATGGAATGGTATCCATCACAATCAGTTGCTTGTTTTAGTCATGTAAATATGAAAATAGCGGGGTGAAGGCGACGTCAACGTGTCTAAATAACCAGCTGCTGATAAGACGGAGCACCCCACACTGAAAACCCTCCCAGGTGCTCCACCCCGCTGACCCTGCTCGAAGCTGCTGACTCAATCACCGAAACAAATGGTCGTCTGTTTGAGAAAACCATAGACCTTTGGTGGCAAATGAAAAACAGCCCATGTAACTGATACATATACTAACTTGGAAGCTGAATATCCAAGGAGAGATTCCCTGACTAACCTTAATTGTTGACGTAGCCCCAACCCAATGTTTATTATTTACCACATATTCTCCTCCATGACTCCGCTTTTGGCCAATTACTTTGTTTCCGTTTACAAATGCTGGCTTAGTGCACTCTCTTCAGCTGGAGACGGCCAGGTAAGTGCATTTTCTTTCTATTTCAGGTGCAAATTATGATTTTTGTGTTATTCCAAATTTATTTTGATCGAATTTTGGTTACGTTTTAAGAGACGAGAGGTGGTTACGTTTGTAAGGATGGGAGGTGCTTACGTTTAGCACGGGGCACGTTAGAGATGGCAGTGCTTACGTGACGACATAACGGTTATTATTCCTATTTAGGTTTGCAAGAAAATCGGGTTTTTAATAACGAAAACAAAATGATGACTCTTAAGC